AAAAGATTAGGGAAAGATTGCACAAGGCGGTAGATTCATAGAGAAAAGAGCTTGTCTCGTCTCTTCTCTTCGACTGGCAGGAGAGCGGAAGAATAAGGTACCCAATGACGTTATTTCGGAAGCATAAGTGAGGATTCTGCCAAACCAAATGATAAATGGAAAGTTAAGAGCCAGAATGTATCTTAGCGAAAGGCTTCTTTTAGTTCAAGCGAGAAAAAGAGGATCCCTAATTTCCTCGTTCCCACGCTCAATTATCCTATCGTCAGTCGTACGGTGACCGACCTGGCTACTAAACTACATGGCAAAGAACAGAGAACTTATAAAACCTATAAAATCGCTTTCATATATGCTGCTGGGGCACATCCGGAGACTAGGTGTGAGAACACAAGTGGGAAATATCTTAATCGATTCTCTGCATAGCATTCATCCCATTGACGATCGCGCATTTACCTGTATGGGTCCAACACACTTTTTGTTAATTTATCACTGACTAGTGCTTAAACTAGTTTTTTTAATAGATAAATCAGCTGTTCATAAATCTGTGGAAGTTTGAAATGAAGCTATCCGCTTGCGGATCATCCCATTCCTCTAGCCGTAAGTTGGAAGCGACTTGTTTTGGATTTATCAGGTTCGCATATTTTTTTCAGACGTTGCTTGTATTTCTTGTGACATTCGAGAAATTCAGCCAAATTGAAAGCCATGCGGTTGATGTGATGCGCCCCAACTTGTTCCAGCTGCCACAAAATTCTTATTGACGTCTTCTTTTTTGTCTTCTGGCTTTTGCTGGGAGGTAGTCTTCGCAATAGCCCCTGATTTTTGTCCTATGACCGATTTCGCCTTGTCACTTAAGATAGATTTTTTCAAAAAGATGACGGTTCCACAAGTAAAACTAGAATCTGTATTGAGAAGGATTTATTTGGGCAGTAATAGAGAGCCTTGCGTAAGTGACACAAGGCTTCAGATTTGGCAGATCCAGAGGACCATCATTGAGGAATGAAACTTCGAGTCAAGTAGGTCTCTGTTACAGAAGTGTATCAGTGACAGATAGTAGCTTGC